TTTTTTTTTTTTTTTGGTTTTGGTTTTGTCTGCTTGGGGCGGCCAAAACCCTGGAGCCGGCCCTGACTATCAAGCATTATCTCAGGAACACCGGGCATGTCTCTGGTTAAAACATCTATCATAAAACTTATTTCCAACTCTGAGATACCTGTTTAGTTCAGCAAGAGCATATAGAACTGGCATTAGCTCATGATGCATTATTTTGTGCAGATCCACAATCCTTCCTTCATTAAAGGCAGTAATGATGTGCTGTAGTATGAGATGATCAGCCTTTATTATGACTGACTATCTTACCTTTATGTTGCTGGAAAGGAAAAGAAAACCAGAGGGTGGAAAATGTCAGAGCCCTTGCCTTTTTAATGGATCATGGAATTTGGTATGGGCACTTCATTCCTTAACTGTCAGGAGCCTTTCCTTAACAAAGGTATTCAGTTACTCCTGGCCAAATATCTCTGCATTCAGCAGATCTTCCTCAATCACTTTTGTTGCCAAATCCTTCATTGCAATATTTTGCCGTGTGTTGGAGGCTGGCTCAATAGTGAATAATTTGAATCTTTGAAGTGTCATTATTACTTTTTTTTCAATCAAAATGATCACACTTCTTTCATTCTGGTGTGGATTCATTGCAAGTCATTTGGTCATCAGGTCCAAGATTAGATATTTTTCTAGTCTGAGCTGCAAACTGGACATGTCAATTACATGACAGAGCCCATCTGCTGAGGCCATTCTTGTGATACCTATGATTCCTCCTCCTCTTTCGCCAGTGGCATTCAGCTGCTTTTGGGTGTGGTCTGGCTCTACCTGATTGAATCTCTAGTTGTACCTCTTCAATACCTAGTTGCATCTATGGAACTCTTCAAGTACCTCCAGAGGGAGCAGGTTCATTTCTTCCAAATACACAGATCGCCATCAAGCATAATTTGTGTGATCATATCAGTGAAAGAATGGAAGCATTCTTTTGAAGGGATACAGACAAGCTCCCAAATTCCATCCCGTTGAGCTCTGGTGAAGAGTAGGACACTACACACCATAACTTGTACTGCCACCAGTACTGGAAATTTAGATGGTTATCCATGTTGCTCAGCAAAAATGATGCCATCTGGTCATGAAAACTTGGATATGAAAGAATAGACACTAGGTTACTGTAATTTTCGGCAGCATCAAATGTTGCAAAAAAATTCAGGACCTTTTCTTTGAGTTTGTCATGTTGCTGTAGATAGCTCAGGAGTTGTGGTAATGGCAGTTGCCACACTACCTGTAGAGTGATCTTGTGGACATTAGTGTTTTTTGTGTAAGTTTTACCAGCAATCACATGCTCTAGCATTTATCTACCTAAAATTCCTCTTTCAGTGCACACACACGTCAATCCAGAATCCTGTTTATGATGCCCCAGCACTTTTAGGACCAGCATTGTTATGTGCAGACCTTTTAAGCATGCAATCAGGATATCTTTATATTCTGACACAGTCCATTTTAGCTCCATCAGACCAGGGGAAAGTGCTTGATCTGCAGTCAAGACTACATTTTTCTGTTGAAGATGTGAGTGACTTGTGCAAGTCTTCCACGACAGCATTTGGTGTATCAACTTCACCAGCAGGGGACTAAATGATAGGCATGTAGCTGTATGCAGATAATGGAGAATTATTGTTACTGTGCTTTTCATTAAAACTTGTCCCACCAGATTTTAGATTTTCAAATTGGCATTTGAGGAAAAATGCCATGTCCTGTGCTTGTGCTTTCAAAGCTGACAATCATTTTATTTATCCATTAAAGCATTCTGCCAGGACATGTTCACTGAATTTTGGTTCTGTTGTACCATCTGTGGTATTAGCAGGAAAGATTATTGCATCTGGAATATTCATGTATTCAGTATAGCATGACTTGTTGACTCAAGTCAGTATCAGATCAGATATGGGTTCACTCTGCCAGGCATACTGTGTCTAGGGTGACCAGACAGCAAATGTGAAAAATCAGGATGGGGGTTGGGGGTAATAGAAACCTATATAAGAAAAATACGCAAAAATCGGGACTGTCCCTATAAAATCGGGACATCTGGTCACCCTAACTGTGTCGCATGAAAAGTGTTTTGCCCATCAAGTGTACACTAATTTATATCAATGTTATCTGCAGTGCAACGGGTAAATTTTAACCAAGTTTGATGGGTTCACTGTTCCATCCTCATTCATCATCAGTGTACTTTTGGCCAGTGCTGTGTCAACTTGAAGTACGTCCTTGTAGCTGATACAATGCTGAGCATTGTGAAACATCTGGACAAGTTTGTGATCTTCTGGGCTGGTGAAGGTGCTTCCAAGCTCAACATGTTTGGGTCTCCACTTCTTATCTCCATCTACACTGTAGATGAAATCTTGTGCAATACTTAACACTCTGGACTGTTTATTTGATTACTGTTTCTTATCTTCACATACTTCTACAACATTATCTTCTGTGTCCTCTTCATCTTCCTCATCACCTTCTTCAAGTTCCTCTACTTCAAGAACAGACTAGGTACCCAGGAGGAGTTGTAAAAACATGTATACTCTTTGACACACAGGCTAGTGCCTCTTCCTCATTGACATTTAGCCCATCATATCCAGGATGAGCACGCATAATTTCAGTGCTATGTGTACCACTGACAGAAATACATCTTCCAGCTCGGTCTTGTAAATTGGAATGGTTGATAAATTTTCTTCTCCTGCGCTGTCTAATAATTTAGAGAAAGGGGGGTGATGGAATTTGACAGGCACTAATAATGTTTGTCTCTCCGAAGCAGATTGATCATGTAAGACAATGAACTTGTAAGCACCATCAAGATGCAGAATAAATTTTTCTTTGAAGGTTGTCATATGCCTTACAAATGAGTGCAGGACCGTTCCACCAGCTTCATTTCAGAGAAAGCAGTAACAAATTCATACCCATAAAAGTTCCAAAACACAGCCTTTTTCAGCACAATGTTTTAATTCATTTCTAGGCCAGACCATTGCCAAGTCAGTGAGTGGTTTCATGCTTAGTATTTTTGTTTTTTTCTCAAGAAATGCTTCTAGCAGTTAAGTGGTAATTTCCCTTTTAAGAGTCACTTACACCAACTACACGTATATGGCTCATGTTTATACTCTCCCGCTTCAAGTATTTGTTTGTTCATTTTGAATGTTGTTACAAAAGAAAGTTTTTCTCTGGAACTTTCATCCTGGCAGAAAATGCAAAGACTCCACTTCACTGTGGGGACCTTACTCTAAAGCACTGTCAAGATTTTGGTGATTACAACACAAGATTGGGTTTTCAGATCACCCTTACTGGGTGAAGAAGTAGCTTCAATGAATTTATGAAGGCTGCTAATTTTACCTTCTATCTATGCACATGGCATAACAGTTTTTCTGCCAAAGTAGTTACAGAATTCTAAGAGCTCTTCAATCAATTGCATCTCTATTTTGGAAATCCATGAGTTTGTCTTGCATTGGTTACTTCTTGTATTGTAGCCAATCCCTGTTCACTAGAAGCAAAACTAGTGTATTTTTTCACTTGTTTGCAAATAAGGTGTTGTTTATAAGATATTGTTGCGAGATGCTTTAGGTTCAAGACTGCCTCCATGTTTCATCTATGGAATACCTGACGATAACAACAAATATAACTAACTTCTGCATGAATACTGAATAAATAATAAATATTGACCAGTATGTAGCTTATGCTGTGGCATTAGTATCCAAATCAATACTCAACTCACTTACACTGTAAGCAAAAGTCAGCTTTAGGTTAGGGGTTAGGGCTAATAATTACCTAATTTATATTTTTGAAAGAGGGGAATTTATGGAAATAAACTATATCATACTATGTTTTGTGTGATACTTTGTGTAATGCGTAGTAATACATCCTTCACATATAAATCCCCCCTGAAAAGTAATTTGTTTAATTAATCTTAAATGTTAAATTTTAAAAAACCAAAATTTAAGTGCATATCATCACGTGACCAGAGGGAGCAGAGACTATGATCTTCAACAGAGTCTTTCCCTGCATTTGCTGATAGTACAGTATTCCAAATTAAGAATATTTTCCATACTTAGAACCTCTCCTTTACTTTCTATTTATTTTTTTAAGTTACAAATGGTAGCCATGTTCTTTCTTTCTTTTTTTAAACTTGCCTTTATGTAAAAAAAAGTTTAAGCGAAGACTGAGGCGGGACACAATAATAATCTTCAAGTACGTAAAAGGTTGTTATAAAGAGGAGGAGGATAAATTCTTTTCCTTAAGCACCAAGGACAGGACAAGAAATAATGGGCTTAAATTGCTGCAAGATTTGACACTAGGGAAAACTTCCTAATCATAAGGGTAGTTAAGTGTTAGAATAAATTACCTAAGAAAGTTGTGGAATCTCAGCCACTGGAGGCTTTTAAAAACAGATTATATAAACACCTATCAGTGATGGCCTATATAACTTAGTCCTGCCTGAATGCAGGGGGCTGGACAAGATGCCTTATCTAGGTCCCTTCCAGCCCAATATTTCTATGATTCTAATTTCAAAATTCAACTTGGTAAACATCATTTTCAGAGTCAGCCTATTCAAATTACGAAAGAAAACAGGTTTACCAATTTTTACCTAGAAATACTTTGTTTCATTAATATCACCTTTCTGGGAACTTGGCCTACTCTATCAGTACAATATTCTCCACAGTGTGCTGCTAATGTGGTTCAGCCTCAACTCCTGCAGGGACCTCCCATTGTGTGAAATGGTCGTTCATTCTCAAAAATAGTCATTGGCCTGGAGAACCTACCCCGTTCTGATGCCATTCAGTCCTTGACCTCTGTGCTGAGACAGTTGTTGATTAGCAATAAGGCCTTGATTCAGCAGTCCTTCCCTATTCAGCAAAATACTTAAGCTCATGGGTATCTTGAATCGTGTGCTTAAGTTTTTTTTTTCTGAACAAGGATGGGATTAAGCCCATGGTTAAATACATTTAGGTTCTAATTCAGCAATGTGGTGGTGGTATTTGTTAATTGACACCTATTTGATGGAAATTACATTAATTTCAGATAGCCCCTGAACAGCTGTCAGATGGTAATACCATTCTCAATATCAACCTGGAATGGATTTGAACCTGTGAACTAGACATGAAATTTTCTGTATCACCTTTCCCATCCCTTGTGCCTTCCACTCACCCAGGGTTATGATACAGTAGCTGAATAACACTTTACTTTAAATCTAGCCAGATTCTTCAATTTTTTGCAAGAAGGGTTTGGCTAGATGATTCACATTAATATCCATGCAAGTTCTATGACAAAAGGTCCAAAAGGTCCTCAGTTCCCAGATCCATGAGAGCTGAGTATGCTCAAGACCTCTCACAAAGTGCTTGGCACCTTAGAGAACTGGGTCCTTAATTCTCTTGGGGAACAATGCCTTAAAAGGTCAGTAGCATCAATGACTATATGGCTTGCCTTTGATGGCTTTTATTGGTTTTTTCCCCACTCTGTTAGAAAACGGTGAAGGTGGCAAAGTTGGAGGAAACAGGAATTTTTTGTCATTTGTTTTTGCTTGCTTGCAAGGTAAGTTTGATCACTGTGTGTGTGAATATGGTGGGTTGCACTCACCTCTTGCGGACCCCCTTGCCATCCAGATGCAATCCTGCCATTCTCTTTGGCTACCAGCATCCACTGCAGGCTGTTAGTTTGCATCTGTGGGTCTTCTGTGGCTTGACCCTCCAGCCAGGTCACACATTTCAAAACCCCTTCTGGGATATAACAAACTCAAAATAGAAGCAGTTCCTTACCCTTCAGGGGTAATTATAAACAAAATAATCTCTCAAATTTCTGGGAGAGGTTCTCCTGCCACTGATTGTGGTGTGAAATGGGTCTTGGCCTGGTCTGGTCTGGTTCCTCTGGCAGTAGACTAGTGAGCTTCCCTCTTCATTCTATTGGCTCCAGCCAGGAACTGCCTTTACTAACAACAGGCAACTCCTTTTATTTTGGCCTGCTGGGCCTTGATTGGCTGTTGCTTGTCCTTGGCCCTTCTAGCTGCTGGAGGACCAGATATCAATGGTTCCAAAAAATGGCTGCTCCTGTGATGGCTCTCTAGGCAAGCCTGGAGGTCTAATACTCTCTGCTCTTTTCCTTACAGAAAACTGTTTCCTGGGGTGGGCACAGAAGAGCAGTGGGGCCTTCAGCAGAAATCCACGAAGCTCTGGGACACCCTGTCACATAGTCATTAAAGTTCCTACCTCCTCTGCCCCACAGCTCTAATTAGCAGAGCTGCTGGAAATTCAGAATTCCAACATTTCAAAATTGATATTCATTATGAACTGAAATAAAACCAAAATATTTCTAATTTTTCCACTAAACAAATTTAATAAAACACTTCTTTGGGTCAATCAAAATGTTCGTTTAGTTCAAATCAAAATGTTTCATTCCAATTTTGATTTTTTAAGTGTTATTTTATAAATATAACACAAAATACATTTCAAAATGAAAAACTGAAACATTCCTTCCCTTTTCAATGAGGTTGAAATTTGTTGGTGATAAACAATTGGTATGGATACACTACGACTTTCATGTGATCTAAATGCTGGAAATTATTAGCAACGTGCAGTGCCTGAACATCCCAGGTTTAAATGAGCTCTCTGGAATTCTTTGTTTCATCCAACATAAGTTACCTTTAAAAAGTTAAAGATTGTCTCTTGCATCTTTAATAACTGAGATCAGACAAGCAGCAGATTTAAATATTTAACTGCACTGCAGATGCTAGTTTTAATGAAAAACCTAACTGTATTTCTTTCTAGTGACGCTCAATGAGATATAAAATGCAAACTATCAGAAGCTGGCAGCAGAGGGAGTCTGCCATGGAATAACATTTGAAACATAAGGATTGTATTTTTTTTTTAATTATGTAACAGTTACAGCTTTAAGTGGGCTATATTTTTATAGATAATTAAACAGAAAATATGAAATTAAAAGATATTGAATAGGTTTAATTTTTAAAACCTCTCCTGTTGCCCATCTGAACAGGAGATAGAAATGAGAGAGTGGGCTGTTACATTTGTGGTTCACCTTGCAAGTTAGAGGCCCAGTATTTGACTCCACAGCATATTCTCCTTGGTATTCAATCCAGACACATTCAGCCAGACAAACACACTCAGGAATGTGCTCATGTAGCAGTAATGTTATTCAGTTGCCACTATGCCTGCATGAGAATACAAAGCAGAATTATAACCTGAGTTTCCAGCTACTTCCTTTCTTCTTTGCATACTTGCTTACTAGAGTTCATGGGCTTACACCTCCTGCTAGGGAGAGCATCCTTGAGATGATTTGCTCAAGCAAAATGTCAAAAAATTCCCCCAAACAAATGCCCTTTCACAGCATTTAGTTAATCCTTTATATCCTTCATGGATGAGGTTTAGGA